CTCTGTCTTTCTTGTACAGAGGGCTCCACACCTGGACACAGTACTCCAGATGGGGCCTCACAAGAGCCGAGTAGATATACATACATTGAAATTCAGTGTAGTCCATTTAAATATCCTTTGAATTCATAAGTCCGACTGAAAGAATGCGAAGATGTTTCCTCAAGGATATTTAGCACTGATCTTGCAAGTATTTACACACAGTAGTAATTGCACTGTCTCCTTTGCAACTGGTACATTGTTTCCGGTACTGTGTGTCAGCACGGGATGGTATCCTCATCCCATGAGGAGTTCTTGAAGTGGTGAGTACTCCTGTCCATGCGGAGTGGTTGCAGTCATGCTGTTACTCCGTCCCTTGTGACAGGGTGCAAGTTAATCAGCTCTTGGCAGTCAGCCTTCTCAAGACTCATTCTGAGAACATCTTTTTAGAGCTGTTTTAGGGAACAGACAAAATCTCATTATTCATCTTACTGAAAATTGCCCAGTGAACGCAAACATCTGTCTCTCAGCTATACCATAAGAAGGCTATATGAAATTGAATGGCTTGAGTAGTGTTTTTCTGGACGAAGCAGATCTTGAGGTACTGAGTCTTTGACATTAGCACCCAACACCCTGCACAAGCTCTTAGCACAGGTTCTAGGAGACAAATTCTCAAATACAAAACGATACGAGAAGTGATTTTGAAAGTCTTCAAAACAAGAAGACCTCTTTCCCAACTTTGAAAATTTTGAAATATAATTGAATAACTTTTTTTTTTTTTTTTTTTTAAATTAACTGTATGGCTGTCATTGAACTTTTTTTCTTTTTGGTAGTCCATTTTTTAATGCAGGCTGGTTTGTGAAGAATAGACACTGCGTTTACCCCAGAGAACAAATCTGGAGTTTGCCAAGCCTTGATCTATTCTATATCTTTCCAATCAACTGTAGATGTCTGGAGAACAGTGTAGGTCTAAAGCCATACAGTGGTGATATTTTTCTGGTATATTGCTTTAGTTGACAGTGACCACTGATTCAGGGATTCTGAAGGAAGGTATCTACTGTATTAGTATATAATAGCACTTAAAAGCACTTTTTCTTCCAAGAAACTATTTACTCATTTTTGAGCCCATGTAGAGAATGTTTCATGAACATGACTATAGTTATCATTCATATATTTCAGTTAAATAAGAGAAACAAAATAATATCCCATGCTGCTTTGTGTTTCTGGCACAGTCTGGATCATTATGTTGATATCTCTTGGTTTAAGAGTTATTTTTGCTCCTTTATTTGGCACCTTGATTCTTCATTTTTTTTTTGCTCATTTGACAAACAGAAAGGCATTTTAGTGAAAGCTTTTCTAGAACTCCAGAATTTATAAGACGTCTTATCTACTGCTTTGTGTCATCTCGAAGCTTGCTGCATGGGATGATGACTTTGTCAGGAAGCTGCTGTCTTCTTGCTTTAAAAGTTAAACTTCCTTCTTCCTTGATCCCTTTTTCCAATTTGATTCACTTTCCATGGACACAAATAATGTTGCTTCTGTTGATCTCAGCGTGAACTAGGTCATATCACTGCTTAGGAAGACCTATTTCTGGGCTAGCAGATAGCTGCTGTGAAGCAGTGAGTGATGACGTACTCACTGCTGCTATTAATGTATACAGTAAGACTCATGAATGGAAGCAGAAAGTTTTTGTTCTCCTATAAAAAAGTAATCTTTTTCTTATGAAGGAGAGACTAGTACTTGAAAGAGACTACAGTGGAAAAAAGCTGACATCATCTGTCGTATTTAGCATAATTTGGAAGCATCTTAATAGCCATCGAGTGTATTTCTAGTGAGTTGTGGGCACAGGGGTCTTTTGGGGACTTGCAGTTTTGGAGGCTTTGGGTGGAGAAGATAAGTAGAAGAAGGGGGTGTCTGAAGGGATCATGAGGACAATTGAGATGTCTTGGTACTGGCCCCAAGAGAACTCCAGGAGCCTACCTGTGAGATGCAGTAAAGCCATAATTTGCTCCAAAGATGAAGTGGAAGTAATGGGAAAAGATAGGATGTTGCTGTTACTTGTAGTGGAGCCAAGTGTCTGGGGCTACAGGGTGGGCATATATCTGTAATTTCAATATTTTGACTATGCCAGAGAGAGGCCAAAGATTTAAATCTGAACGTGAAAGCCTGCACGCCCCAATTTGTGCTTAACATTCACCAGCCTACACATAATGATGATTAAATTATCATCTATTTACCTTCAGGGAAAGCTTTTAAAATTTTATTAATCTAAACAGCCGTTTCTTCATTAAGTCACTTCAACTGCAGAAGCAGTTATCTTCTATATGTTATATACGGGTATAATAGTAACCACAGTTACTGAAGTTTACCGCACAAAGAGAGGCACGTGCTAAGTGTTTGTGCATCTGGTCTATAATAGGTACATATATATTGTTAATATTTAATCTCCTTCTCAATATGCTTCTATGTTTTTAGGCTTGTGAGCAAGGCTTTCTAAAGCCTACTGAGCCTTGCAATGCACCAAACCTTCTTTAGGGGTGTGTGTGAGTGGGAGGGTGAGGGAATTGTGTATTACTAAGCAATAAGCTGAAGATGGCAGCATTGGGTGAGCTATCTCATTTTCTTAGCTAAGTAGTTCTCTCTTAAAATCCAGTAATTGTAGCTGTTGTGTATGGCAAACTTATTAAAAAATGAGCTTTTCATTTAAAGGGCTTTTTAAAATACTACAGCTTAATACCACAAGTTAGTGCAAGGTAGGTGTTTTATCATCAGTCCTCCCAAGTGAGGACAAAGTTATAGCCACTCTGACAGATCTGTAATAGACAAACACCAGACTCCCCCTTTTTAGCTGTTGTTTGCTTTCAGACTGAAAATGACTGTGATCACTGTACTTTATGAGCAGCCCAGTCCTGCTGTATATCTGTCACGATGTTTGTGCTCACCACACTGGTTCTTTTAAGAGAGCTGAGGGGGCTAATTCAAACGTGCTCGTGGGGTTTAAGTGTGAAGCTGAACAGTTCACTGCTGACAGTGACAACATGTACAGAACCAGGTCTGCAGCCCCCCGAAAGTTTTTTTGGCAAAAACTCAGTTAATATTCTTCAAGGTGGCAGTTTCACTCAGTGATGCCTACGTCGTTTTGTGTATCTGGTTGTTTGTTCCTCAGATGTCTTTTTTGAAAACCATTTGTTTTGGCATCAGCTAATTGTACTTAGTGAACAATTAGATGCCAGCATGGCTTATGCAAGTCAATAGCAAAGTCAGAAGTGGAACTTTGGTTTCTTGTTTGACAGTGTTGTGCTTTCAACTCCTCTTGTGAATATCTGTGCTTTGACTGCTGTACTGGAACCTAACCTAAGGCATCTTAAGTCACTACAACCTTTCCTTCTTCATAGATGACTTTGCAGGTTTAGATCAGACACAGGGCTCATGTTTTTATTCTTTTTTATCATGTTTTTCTCCACAGTGCTATGCTGGCTCTACAGGAACTTTTATAAGAGGCAGAGAAATGAATCATATCGCAATTTCTAAACATTTATTGAATTTAAAAGAGCTGCTAATTACTGCTCTTTTGCATTTAGGATGGAGAGAGTCTAGAGGAGAGGGGTTTGTAAGAAAAGTTGGAAGTGGCAAAAAACCAAAAATCATCTGCTTAGGATTTGTCTTTAAGATATGCAGAAAATGTTAAGATTTAGTATCAAATGCTGAGTTAAAGCCCATCCTAAAAAGAAATATAAGCTTCGCCTGTTACATAGTTAATTGAAACTGCAGAGTAAATTCATATTTCATGCAAAACTGTGTAAAGCTCTTGGTTTCAGTGGAGCTGTATTCTATGCACAGATACTGAAATTGTCAGATAATGTAATAAATGTTTTCACATGTGCACACAAATGGTATGTATGTGTATATATCTGCATGCAGAATTTTTGTAGAAGTTGATTTACAGTTTCCTAAAACCCTTATATGTAGGAATAATTACTAACAATCTCATCTGTTTGATCTGGCATCAAAAACAATCATGCTGCATTATAATAACGCCAAACGAAAGCTCAGTACCATAGGAGCAGATGTGATTGTTGTCTTCTGGTTTTATTGGATACTGAACTATCTGTACTTCTTACAGTCTGCCTAACGTTTCACTTTGAATACAGCAAATTAGATGCATTACTGTTAATGTTGATTTAACTAATGTCTTTCACAGTTCTCACCAGCTCAGATATGTCAGCTGCCTACTGGTGACACAGGTTGAAAGTAGACCTAGAGAACAGTTGTAATGGATGAGCCAACTAAATTTGCTGTACTGTACTTATTATATATTTGCTGTACTTACTTATTACTGACTGTAATTTTCTTTCTGTCATTGAAGATGCCAAGTGGCATATTAGTTCTTCATTTATAATGAAGTAAAATTTAGTGAGAAATATGACATAGTCTCAAGAAGTTCATTCTAACACAGGACAGCACTTAGATACGTGCCAATCTTGAGTGCTCTGAACTAGATTTTGGAGATCTTCAGAGGTTCTTAGACAGGCAGACCAAATACCTTGGAGGATTTTCTTTTAAAGTGGTTCTCTTATTTCTGAAAGTGTCCGCACAATTGTCTCTGCCTTTCATAGCTAAATCATCACAGGATCATGGAATCATAGAATGGCTTGGGTTGGAAGGGACCTCGAAGATCATGAAGCTCCAACCCTCTTGCTGCAGGCAGGCCCACCAACCTCCATAGCTAATAGTAGACCGGGCTGCCCAGGGCCCCATCCAACCTGGCTGCTCTTACCTGTCTGTTCCTAACTGGCCATTCCTGTGAACTGTGAGTGCCCAGAAAAAAAACAATCAGATTTTTGCCTAAAGCTCTGTTACTGCAGAAAATGACATTTAAATTACTGTATCTGATTTTATATTAAAGACATGAAATTCTGAAAAAGTGGGGCAATTAAGTGAATATGGCGCCAATTGTCATGGCTGAAATGCTTTTTTTTTTTTAATCCACACTGTATATATCTGTATATCTGTATATTTTGCAGTGCTATTTTTTTACGATTGAATTTGGTCTTTGCAAGCAAGAAGGACAGCTGCGTGCTTATGGGGCAGGACTTCTGTCTTCTATTGGAGAACTAAAGGTACGTTGATTGATATGCTCTTAAAGCAGAATCAAGTTTCTTTTAATCATAATACAATTATAATTGGATGCAAATATTTTGATTTGAAAATAACAGTTAAACTTATCAAGATGAAAAGCTTCCTTTTAAATGTGATACTGAGCTGAAAAATTCATTTGACATATCAGCTGGCACCTGAAGCATGAAATAGATTCGTAAGGACTGAAGCACCAAAGTAACAGTAAGCTACAAAACTTATTTCTGTTTGAAATTTAAGAAATAACTAGCCTGTGAGACGCTTGAATTGTGGGTAAATGGAGGCTCAGTTAAGGTATACTGGGTTCTGAAAACTTTACTTAGAAGAGAAGCATATGTTTTTTTGTAGGTGAAAAAACTGTTTTGAAATGAGACACAGTTCTTTTAAAAGTAATGCAAAATATTTCAGTGGATTTGTTATTGATATTAAAAGAACATTTATTAAGGTCTTGATTCAGTAGATTATTTGTTTTTAAAATTAAGGAATGCATGTAAGCTCATACTAGACTTGTAGTATATGCCTGTGTTGCAATACACAGAGACTTATAAAGACAAAAGTCTTTGACCTTTCATGGTGAGTAACTGCAGTAGATCAATTACTACCTATTTTTAGGCATAGAGAACAAGCAGAAGGTATTTTGTCATAAGTTTAATATTTTGAGATGTAATACACCTCACTGTTAGTACAAAGGAAGGGAAGAGGAGGAAGAGGAGGGAATGCCATGTTTATTCTGGGACCCAGGTGAACTTTTGATGGCTTTTGTTTAAAAAATTGGTTTCAAAAAGCGTATAAAGAATAGTGTTTGCACACTGTTTTGCAATATATCTCCTGTTTATTTGCATTTGAGCATCTTTCCACCCATTTTCGGTGAAGTACCTGACATTTTAATAGAAGTATCTCAGTCTCTTTTTGCTGTTTTACCTGTAATTGAGAATATTAATGCTGGAGCTCAGCAGTTAGATTGCTATTCTTTTATTAATAAGCCTGTATAAGGGGATTAAAGAAAGACATAGAAAAAAAGGTCAAAGAAAATTATTTTCTCCAGTACATATATATTTTTAATTTGATTTCATTATAGTTGTTCTCAGTTCAATGCCTACTTCAGCCACAGGAGCATTCAGTATCAGTATGGAACTGTTGTACACAGTGCAAAAGATGATTAAACACAAAGATGAAAATATTCCACTTGTTTTTTTCCCTGCCCAACAACATTCAGTGTGATCTCCAAACTGTGCAGGTTTCTGCAGAGAATCAGGGTTTTTAGTTAAACTAACAGTTACAGCCTTTAAGTGATGACCCTGAAAATACCTGTCACATCATTTACAAAATCTGAAGGCATAAAAGCAGAGAAATAAATAGTCAAGAGCATAATAAATCTTGTACCATCAATGTCAAAAACAAACACATTATTCTTATGGAGTGTACATATTCTGTTACCACACAGAAATCTTAACTGTGATCCCAGTTCTCTGTTCCTCACTCAGCAATAATCTCAGAGTGTAAATGCAAAGAATAATCCTTTTGAAAAGCAACAGAAAAAATTAAATAAGGCGTACGTTAATGGAGTGTACTGATTGGCTTTAAAGGTTAGGCTATATATCATAATAATTTTGCCATATATCAAAAATACTATACAATTTTCTATTACATTACATTTATATTTCATAGATCTTAAGCCAGAAGGGACTATTAGATCATCTGGTTTGACCTCTTGTGTATCATAAGCTGTTAAGTTTCATCCATATCTTGAACGCACTGCACACAGACTGAAACATTTCAGTTATTGAGAGACTGAGCACTTGTGTGCTGCAGGCACAGAACACCACTGTACCACAGAGTCCATAAAGGGACTGATAAGGTGAAAAACATCCAATTTTTGTGAAACTGTGCTCTAAAGCAGAAGTGAAAGTAAGAGGGGAAGGGAAAAAAACAAGGCAAAATAAGTTTTCTGCTAATCTGACAAAGGGAGGAGCTCTTTCTAGAACAGAAACCTGGTGCTGAATATGCTTCTTGTCAATGAGATATATCAGCCAGACCCTTAGGAAAAAGAATTTCTGGACACCTCACAGCTCTGTTGCAGAGCCTCGCATCAAGCCATTACTGATCTCTGACTTTTCACCAGAAAGCAACTTCCCATACCTCTGCCCTTATCTCCAAGCACCCACTGGGAGGAAAAATTTCTTCCTTTATCTGAAGATCGTAGAATGGTTTAGGTTGGAAGGGACATTATAGCTCACCCAGCTCCAACACTCTGCTGTGGGCTGGTTGCCGCCCAGCAGCTCAAGTTGTCCACGGATCTGTCTAACCTGGCCTTGAATGCCTCCAGGGATTGGGCACCACAGCTTCTCTGGGCAGCCTGTGCCAGTGCCTCATTGCCCTCTGAGTAACGATGGATCTGGAAAATAACGCTGATGTAACAGTCTGTGGTTGAGATCCTAGTTACAGCTGAAATGCTAATTGATGTCAGGAATTGCTCTGAAAATAATGTGAACAATACAGGTTGTTTCTATGCTGGATGGGAATGAATCCTCTGGAGTTTGCTTGGTCACAAGGCCAGACCCCCATACTTTTCACAGAATCACAGAATCACCCGGGTTGGAAGGGACCTCAAGGATCATGTAGTTCCAACTTCCCTGCCTAGCAGGGCCATCTTCATTGAAGTCAGAGTGAAGAAGACCTTTTAGAAATAACTTCTGCCATTCTTCAGACAACAGTGCTTGTGAACCCAAAGTCCCCTCTGTGAAGAAGCTAAAATGTTTATTTATCCTTGTCACTTGAATGTATATCTTGCTGTGGAGTTGAATTTTGCTCCCTTGACTTTACGGGTACTTGATATTAATATGCTTCTGTCAGCAAGAAGAAAAACCCCTCTCTAGCTGCCCTCCCTATAGTTATTTTTTCAATATTGCAGTATTTGCAGGAAACAAATTGATAGGCAGCTTCACAAGTGGTATCTAGTAATTTCTATCGCCAATCATATTTGGGACTTTCAGATGAGTTAAATATTTGTTCAGTCATCCCGACTTCTATGTTAACGCTGTTCCACTCTGCAAATCTGGTCAATAGCTTTAGGAAAAAAGAACTAAAAGCTAGAGAAATGTGGGCATCATCCTGTCAATATAGGATTTCCTTCATTTTTTTTTTTCTCCCTACTCAGTACTTAGACTTCAAATTTCAGGTATTGGAAAATGCACCTCATGATGAAGTGCATGCTGAAGAAGCATCAAGCAGAAATTTTGAAAAGCACAACAAAATAAGGTGAAAGAAAAGATTAAAAATGAAGCCTAGATGGGGAGGAATAATCAGTAAGTAGTTACAAATACTCTGCCTAATAGTCAGGTTAACACTCCCTAGTGCTTTTATACACTATATGCTTGGGACTTAAAGATAAGGCAGAAATAACATACATCTCATTTATTGAAGCTATTTCTAAAAGGCAGTCAAAATGTCTTTGGAAATTTTAATCCATTTACATTATATGATGGTCTCGTGAACTCTTTGATTAAAAGAATGATCCTATCAACTTCAGTTGGCTGTACATCAAGTCATATATCCCTATTGTATGCTTCTGTATTTACCAGAGAGATGGCCTTCAAATCTTTCTGTACAGATTTTTAAGTCAAATACAATATCCAGTAATGTTTTCTTTTAATGATAGCTTATGTTAAGAGAAGGCAGTGTCAGCTTTTATAACCAGAGAGATTCAAGTACAAGGTTTGGTTCTGTTTACTGAAGAGGACTAAGAGGATGGAGATTTCCATCCCAGATGGCCATTACAGTGTTTTTTTAAAATAAAGTCTCTCTTCCTAATTTGTCTAAACGTTATATAAAATTATACTGATAACAACAACAAAAACCTCTGATGAAATCATATCATAAATCTGGAAATGTCCTATGCTGAAAAGCACAAGCAGAATAATGCAGAATAGTATTTAGAAACAGGTTTTCCAAAATTATATTCTCTCACAGAATAACAAGGTGATAAAATCAGTACTGGCACACAGACAACTTCTCACCAGTATTCTTGTTCTGCCCTCTTGTAATCCTCAAACAGTGCAGTATTTATAACTCAACTCAACCTTACCCCTCACTAGTTTAAGCTTTTTTCTTTTCTCCTCTTTTTCCTTTTATTTCTGTATCACCAAAAAAAAAAAAAAAAAAAAGAAAGAAAATCTCCAAGTTTTTAATAGTCCATTTTTAATACTTAAAGGAGAAAGCACAGACAGAACTCATTTACCACATGTCAGTGATGGTTACTCCATGAAAACACCTGGTGCTATCTAAGATGCCCCAGTATATTTAACTAGCTCTCCACCTGAGGTACTATGTAATAGTTTCCATTCCTGTACAGATACCTCAAGCATTCTAGACCCTAGAGGCCTGTGGTTATGTACCTGAATTTTTCTTTTTTTTTTTTTTTTTGTCTTTTGTCCAGTGGAACTAGGGAATTTTCTATAGTGCTATGCTTATTCCCTAGAAAAGTAGTTGCCTAATTCTGGAGGTGTTCCATTGTTTAATATTGCTGTGTTTCTTGGAAAATAGTTGCAATCTGTTTGCAAGTTTCACTCCAAACTCCTATTGCTTAAGCCTAAGGAGAATCACCAACAACTGTATTAGTGTAAGCATTGCTACTTGTGTGAGTGTGCCTTCAGAGACTGTTGTCACGAATCTACAGGGTGGTGAGATGCTTTCTGGCTGAAAGCTATTTCCCATCTCATCATTATCTGTGACATCCATGGAAATAAATAAAGTAAGAGATTTCTGAGGATAAATCCATAGTAGCTACTCAGATGTTTAAATTCACTGAAGAACTGAATGTCCAAACAAAACAGAGATGAACAGCATTGTTAAAAAGCTACAGGTTTGAGCTTAAAAGTTTTTAAATTCAAGCTTAAGTGTTGATATTCTGTACTTCACAATGTTGACAGTGCCAAGGACCAATGTTTCGGAGCACTGTGATGTTTTTGAAAAAACAAAAAAAGCCTAGTTCAGCTTTGGAGTCAGCATTGTCCTGACCATCCTGGTTCATGCTAGACATTTTATGATCTGCTTGATGGTTTGTCTGCAGCCTCTGCTCAGTTACCGAATGCTGGCATTACTGGTGTCAGCACATCAAGTCAATAGTAGACTTTCCAGACACCAGGCTGCAGAGTTTCAAAGCACTGTCCAGAATATTGGAGGCATTTCCCGTTGCTCTGGTCATCATGACAGTAAGTACCTGATCCAAGAGCAAGAAAGCCATATCTTAGAAGAGATCTCAGTTGGGAGTTCAGCAGAATCTAGACACTTCATTCACAAACAGCTATGAAGAATAATTAATCAGATGTCAGCTAACTTAGAAGGCATGTCTGAATTTACTCTCTTTCCCAGTTGCATGATTCCTGGTGTCTACAAATCCCGGTTTCTTTATGAAGCAGCTTCTCTGTTCATGTACACACTAAACTAGGATCTACAAAGTAGGAGTTATTTCATATAGATGATGTGAGGAGAACAACCTCCAGGTTATTTTTTCTCAGAAGACATGCACTCTGATAAAGAATTAGCATTTACTTCCATTTAAACTCTCCTCCTTTATATAATTAGGAGTTCAGTGTCTAGAGCAGCTGTCAGTGATGTTGCTGAATCTTTTCTCACCTTTGACAGCTTTGATCCTCTGTTTCTGTCCAAGGAGTGTATATGCCTCAGCAGATATCATTAGTGAGGAGAAGATAGTCATAGAATCATATAATAGCTCAGGTTGGAAAGGACCTTTAAGACCATCAAGTCCAACCACAACCTAACCAGAACACTGTCACCCTTTTTGTTGAAGCTGTCATGGTACAGGAAAGAATCCGTGTACCAGAAGTGGTCACCTACTAGTTCAGTTCCTAAGAAAGCTTGGCCAGTAGCACTCTTAATTTTTTGCACAGGGCTTTGCTCAACCCATTCAGAGTTTTAAAACTTTGTCCTTTACATATTTGAGGCATCAGGTCGCACCTGAAGGTAAAGAGGCACCTTGAAAGGAGATATTGTTGTCTAGGTTGAACTCAGGAAGGCCATTATAATTCCCAGTAAAGACAAATTCCATTCAATGGAAGGAGGTAGATGCCTAAACTTTCAGGCACTCAACCACAGCATGGCTCTGCCTGAAGACAGAGACAGTAGGGATTTAAACAGGCTAATAAGGTGAGGCTGTTCCTGCAATCCATTTAGAAGAAGGTTCTGGTCAAGATAGTCCATTTTAGATTTTTGTTTTCATACCTATGTAACCGATGACTGACTAGAAACAGCAAACTTTGTGAGAAGGAAATGATACATGTTCTAAAGAAAGTGAATTCCAGCCATTTTAAGATACCGTGCATTAATTTTTCATGTATTTATTTTTGGAGAGAGAGAAGGTAGGAGGAAGAGGTTCTTGTTCCAATTTTATGTCCTGTTATTTGGCAACAGCAGGTTGAACTAAGGAGGAGAACTAAGTACTGTGATATTTTCAGAGCCTTTCACAGGGATATAGGAATGTGCATAAGCAAGAACTCAAGTAAACAGTATGGTTAATACCTTATTCTGCTGTAAGGAATGTCTATGCAGAAATATAATAAAGAAATAAGAGACTCCTTCATGCTTCGGGGATCTGCTCCCTCCATGTCATTTCTCAGTGCTTTTCGTGTGTGTTTTCCCTGTGGATAGATACTAGGGGACTAAAGAAAGTTGACCTACATGTGCTTTTCTTCCTCAGAAACATTGTGTTTCTGTACAGGGTATTGACGATGAAAACACACATGCTCTAAGAGTTAAAGTAGGCCCAAAAACTAACCACAAGTATCCAAAGGGAAAGAAGAGGTAGAAATAATTTTTTTGTGTGAAATGTCTCAGTACCAGATTTTCAGTTCTGAAACCTCTGTTTTTGAAATCTTTCCAGTGACTTTTGCCAGTAGGGTAAAGAGAGAGGCTAATGGCTAATCTGTAACCTTTTCTTTGAGCAGCATAATTTGATGTCTCCTCTGTCTGATGTCTGCTCTGTACCTATCTCTGCTTGTGTTTTTGGCTCTTTTTCCCTTACAGTACTAAAATGATGATTGTAACTCATGTATGTAGCGGAAGGGCAATGCATCAGCACACAATACACAAGTAGTATTTAATGGATTTTTGGGTATATAGTTTCACTCTTAAGCTCACTGTCAGGAAAGTAATATATGAATTTGCTCTGAAAATGTAATGCAGAAGTTATGTGAGTGATTTGGTCAGACTCAGTTCACCTACCAAGTTGATGATCAGTTCTGCCTGTTAATTGACATTTGTGGACATACATGTTTATAGCTGTAGATAATTTTCCAGCAGTGGTTTTTTTTATGACTCTCTCATTTCCATCTGAAGATTTGTGCCTGCACAGCAGGTAGATTTCTAATCTGCTCTTTAGTATTTTATTAGTTAGGTGAAAAAATGACTCATAAAAAGAGTATTTTCTAAGTAACAAATTATTTATTCTGTTCACACTGAGATTGCTCTATGTAAAACAAGAGAGGCTACCAAATGACTGGAAAAATACAGCACAGTGATACAAAAGTTGAATATGTAAACTGTTTTATAGATACAAAGCAGTATCAAAATACAGTTTAACAGAGCCAGTGGTTTATTTTGCAGCACGCTCTTTCTGACAAGGCCAAGGTGAAAACATTCGATCCGAAGACAACCTGTTTGCAAGAATGCCTGATCACCACTTTTCAGGAAGCTTACTTTGTTTCAGAAAGTTTTGAAGAAGCCAAAGAAAAGATGAGGTAAACTATTTCCCTTGACTGTAAAATCTAATTTCTCTTTTTCAGTGGTAGACAAAAAAGAGGTGTTAATTTTCTTTTTTCTTTCAGGGACTTTGCTAAATCGATCAATCGTCCCTTCTCTGTGTACTTCAATCCATATACACAAAGCATTGAGATTCTGAAGGATACCAGGAGTATAGAAAATGTCGTCCAGGACCTCCGCAGTGATCTAAACACTGTATGTGATGCATTAAGCAAAATGAACAGATATTTAGGGATTTGATATATGTCCCACTGTGATTTGTTGTCAGCTGCTTATTCTGTAGCTGTTCTAGTGACATCACACGACATGGCTAACTTTTAAAACTCATCAGTTTGCTCTTCTGAGCTTGGCCTGTGGCTTGTGTCATTGTGTAGCTTTGTCTAATTGTTAAGTGCAGACAAAACAAGGCAATGCTAATTCGTAAATTCTCTATGGAGTGTGGCAGCATATAACCAGCAATTCCTCAACACAATGTTGTGTACAAGTATACCAGTAAAAGCTTGCCTAGCAATGAGTTTGTTTCTTTAAGATTGGTGTTAAAATGGTGTTCCTGATTTCTTTAAGTCTGACATTATTTCCCTTTCCAACTGTCAGAATACAGAAAAAAAGTATTTGCAACATTTTCCATTTTCCTTGTAAGAGAATCTGTATTTGGTGGTGATGACAGTGTTTTGCCCATATATTTGTAACAGAACTGAGTGTCTCTTGTGACTGAACAATACACTTTACATGTATACCAATGCAGAGATCAGGAAGACTACGTATCGGTACTAAAAGGTCTGTGAGGATTATGAAGAAACACTACTGACAAATGTTTGATGTGGCTAAGTAATTGCAAAACAACAGGAGTAATAATAATAAAACCTCTGACAATTCATGCATAGAGGTAGTGATAGTTCCATACATGTATTGTCTGTGACAATCCTGATCATACTTCCACTGCAGGAAGTATGTTGTTTATCTGGAAACAAGAGGGGAAGCACCTTTGTTAATTCCAGGTTGTTAGATGTGAATATAAAGCCATTCTACATCACTCTGTGCCTTCTGCATTCCCTCATTCTTTGAACATAGTCCCTTGCATTTCATGCATAATTTGCCTTTCCTTCTTCTGCCACATTCAACCTTGACATGGTGTGCATGAGTGAGTCTACATTGTATCAGTATCAGTAGATATGAAAAGGTGAATATGGAAGTTGTTATTTAATTATAGCCAGGACAATTATCAGTTAGTAGATTACTTGTGGGGTGCTTAAATCATACCGACACCTAAGCTGCCTAGCTTGTACCAGATGGATGCAGGTAATGCCTGACTTAATGAACTCTGTGTTAGCAAGTTCTGACAGAAGTACAAGCTCTGTCTGGGGAGCAGTGTGGAAATATTTGAGCCGACTCTTATCTGGAAGCAATAATTATGCATGTCTTTCCTTTATCTGAGTTATTCTGTTCTCCTATTAGCCAGAATAATGGAGAGTTGACCATATTGTATGGACCTCTAGTAATGGAAACTGCGTGGATCTTATGCAGATCATGTCAGTACAGGTGAAAGTTCATGGCTTGTCTACTTACGTGGAAAATAGATATCTATTGAACCTGCTCTCTCAGCTGAGAGACTCATGCAGATACTCTTTAAGTGTCGCTAGCAATTTCAGCATGAAGAGAGCACCACTTGATAGTATCAGCACATCCTTAAATAAGAGGCAATCTATAATTTTCATAGGGAAATATGCCACCTCCTCAAAGATAACTACAAGATAACAGAAAGTGCTCTATTCTCTGGATGGTCCCTGCTGCATTCTAATGCTGCTGTTAATAGGGTGTGGAAAAATCCAGTTTTAGATCTAACCGTGACTGCCACTGGTATAAATGAAGAGCTGTTGAATTATCCCACGGGGTCAGCATGCTGGAGGAGTTTTTTAACTTCCTGACATTAGTGCTGACTCCATTAACTAGCACTTATCGTAGAGGAGTCACCAGCACGCTTGGCATAGAAGTTTCTTCTTCTTTCTTTGGATGGAATCTGATGAACCCCTTGCAGCCCTTTTTGGAGAAAATGGACTGAACTGATATTTACTTTAAATGATCTGGAAAATCATTGCACAAGGAATAGTAGTTCTTAGTTCAAGACCTGACAAAGTATTGTTGCTTGCTTAAGTGAAATAAAGGCACAATGAGTGAAGAGATAAAGAGTTTGCAAAATTATTTTTTCCTTTGAATCAAAATTATACAGGAAAGTGTTAAATACTTACAGTATCTGGATTTATTCTTGACTTTTCTGAACTGCCTAAAATAAGGATTGCACAGAAGTAAAACAACAGAAGCATATCTTTGTTTTGTTTTGTACTGTTAACAAGTAAATCTTATTATGGATTAGGGAGAAACCCTTGAAATCCAATAGTCATTTTAGGACTAATGATGGCACGGAAACTGTCTGCAATGAAGATATAATGTCAATGAAACAGAACATTGTCAAAGGATAATGGGCTCCTGCTGCTAGATATATGCTTAATCCAATGATTTTATTTCTATTATACAACGTGATTAAAAATAAATTAAATATAATGAGCTAAGGAATAATAGTGATTTAGAGAGACAATTGCTCGTTGTTCTTACATGGGAAAGCTGTGTTCTTACAGGCTACAGGGCAAACTTTCTTTGGGCTTCAGCCAGTCAGCAGTCGTGAATTGGAAAGAAGGCTTTAAAAAGTGCACTATTGCACTTTTATGAATCAAATAGTTCCAGCTTAGCTGACATCCTTCTCTGCAGTTTTTATTAGCAAATTAAGATCAGCCATGCAGCAATCTCCTTGGATGACAAGCTCATTTAGGCATAATGAGGGAATTATTGACAGTTATCAAATTACACTAACGTTTCATTTAAAATAGACCATATTTATCTAAGGTGCTTGTTTAACTTTAGTGAGCTGGACTCTGGAAATTGGACTTCTTCTTAGGCTCATTTATTTCCTATGTAATTCTGAACTAATGCTTTATGGGTCCAAGATATATGTTCTTGCTTTGCCTGCATAGAGTAAATGGGCCTGAGCTTAATGAATGTAAAGCATTGCAGTGTTTACTACCATGCAAAGTCTAAAATGAAAAACAGCACTCTGAGACATTGCAGCAAATACAAATACCAAGTTTCATTTGCAAGCCAAGACATGGTTCATGCGTTTCATTTCATTTATTTGGTGGAGGGAATGGAGTGGGAAAGGTGTTAAAACAATATATTGCGTTTTCTGTTGTGTTTTTCTCTCTATACTTCAAGATCTGTTTAGAAGCCTGCTTTAAGTTTAGGCCTTCAGTACACTTTCATGACATAGAATGTCCTCATTTCTTCTTGTAATGATTTCCTAAAGTCATAGAGAAAACTCCAGAAACATACTGTACTGAAATGTGTATTTAATGTCACTCTATAATGGATTACAGAAGATTTCACATCTTTGAGAGAACAGCCTGACTCTGTGAGCCAAAGCTGGTGAAGGCTTTCACCTACAGGCTACTGGTACAAATTCAGCCCAGTCAGCAGCTTCTGAGAGCTATCACCACCAGCAGCAGCCTGGTGTCTGTGTGATGAGCTTGGAAGCTAAGATAGTTTCGTTTTGAGTAGAGGAGACTGAGGGGAGACATGATCACCTTTTTCAAACACATAGGAGTAGCCGCAAAAATAAAAGGGAAAAACTTCTCTAGCCTGTAGAACTAATGGGCTTAAATTGCAGGACAGGAGCATTAAGTTCTTTAATGGCGAGGGCAGTGGAATCTGGAGGACAGATTGCCTAGGGAGACAGCAGGACACCTGTCATTTTTTAAAGAGAACAGTTTAGACAACTTTCTCTCAGGACTGCTATTGGCACAGCTGGTCCTGATTTGAGATCAGGGAACAAGCTGCATGGCGTCTTGAAGTCCCTTACAGCAGCTGCCTGGAAGAGGGTTCAGGCTGCTCATTGAAAGGCTCCACATGACTCTCAACAGCAGTAATCGTCGTAAACCATCACTGTGGAGCCTCTCAGCAGCATTTGGACCCCTGCATGTTCCTTCCATCTTAGACCGACTCTGAAGTGGTTCTTCGTCCTTCCATCTTCCCTCAGGGAACAAATAGGATCCATAATCTGAGTGAAGTCTCCAGTGGTGACCGTGCTGCTGAATTTTAGTTCATAGGCCACTTGAGAGAGTCCTGTGAGCGAGTTATGGCTACCAAGAGGCAGAAGACAGATTGTCAGCGACCACCATTTGTCCTTTTTGTAAGCAAGGTTTAAAGCTGCTCAATATTATAAGCAAAAAAAAAAAAAAAAGAAATGCGTATTTCACCCTAGCTCTGCCTGTGTTTGGGCTGTCAGGAAGACTGTGCCCACAGATTTCTGAGGAAAAAGAGCCCACTGGTGTGGTCCATCAGGGAGCTTTGGTTCAATCCCCTAATGTAGCTGACTGAGGAAGTTGGGGCCTGCTGCTGCTCACCCAGTGGCATTTTAAGGACTGGGTAAGGGTGGGTGCAGTGCCCTTTCATTAAGGAAATCAGCATTCTGCACCAATCTGGTAACTTACATTCTTGTTTCAGCAGGATGGTCTGTGCCTTTTTAGAAATATGGCAGGTTCCCTTCTATCTCATTAAGAGCCATTATCATATTTTCTAATAATTTGAAAAAAGAATGATTCCAGTATTGCTGCATAATGGCAGTATTTTTTTGTATCAATGCCACTTAATCTCTGGAGATTTTTCATAGACAATGTGATGTCCGTTCAGAACATCTTGCAACAACAAAGTTTACATTTAAAAGCTCCTTTAACACTTTACAATAGGAATTCATGTTCTTATGCCAACAGTTGAGATGTTAGCATGAACTGAAAAATAGGTGCTGGCAACTTATTGGGATTTTGGCTCAGGGTGGACTGTTCAGGTGGAGTAAATGTGAAGTGGGTTATGTAGTCACATGCTTTAAAATGCAGGTGGGTAATGAGTATTTTGATGGACTTCTTTGTAAAGAAGTCATAAATTTCTAATGTCCAGAAAGATAATAAAGAAGCTGCTGTTATACTCCACCTTTGGAGGAAAAGAGTTTGCAAAGCAGCAGGAGGTAGATTTCAGCCTTTGTTAAACTGACACATGGCCTGGAATATGAACTGCATGACACCTACCTTGCCAGCTTTTACGTGGCATCCAGCGTGAATACAATTCTGATAACAAAATAACAGAGCGACAATGAAGCACTTCAGAGCCAAACAGCCTGGCTACCCCATAGGAGACAAAGTGGGTGATTTGAGACCAGCGTGGCACAAATCAAATCACTTTTATTTCCTATGAAATCAATTCTGTTTTCTGTTTCTTTTACAAAACACCTTCTGAATTGTGTTGCCATTTTATTTTTCCATGAGGATTCTAAAGAGATGTAAAAATTATGGAATGGCTGATGTGGCCATCCTGCCTATTCTTTGGTGCCACCAAACTCTGTACTGACTTTTGCCATTTTTCAAGGAAGTAGAGTAATGCTGAAGACGTGATGCTGTGGTTTCTCAGGAGTTGACAATTGATGGATACACCTAAATATTACCATCCTTTACTATCCCTCCCTGTTGGGATTGCTGACGTCAGAGATGCTAACAAGACCAGTCAACAGTAATTGAGTTTGAGGCTATGCGCACAGTGGACTTGCTACTCTAGAAGAATTTGTTGGGAGGCTCGGTTTGGTTGAATTCCCTTTTGCTGATTACTCTTGATAGATGATCGTGAGTAAAGTTACGAAAAAGCAGGCGTCTCACATCAGATGGGGACCAGGGAGTCAAAAATCTCCACTGCTGCAAAAACAGCACATGTTTCAAGAGGCGTCGTGCTGCCAGTGCCCGTCAGTTTAATTAGACCTAGCTCAAAATAGATTTCATAGTTGCTGGATTAAAAGGCTACATTTTACTCCCAGGTCTCAGCCCGGCATCTGTTTTCAGAGATATATCTGTGTCTGCAAGCGCAGGAGCTAGAGCTGCCAGTCAGGCATGCAAGGCCTGTTTCTTATTTCATTTGCAGGTATTTTTTAAAAACCTCATTTGCAATGTTATCTCCAGAATAGGAATGCAGCACATAGAAGATGCAGAGGCATCAGGGCCTGATCTTTTCTGAGCTCTCATTGCTTCCTGCCAGTGCCAGGCAGCACAGTGAGTGCAGCCAAGGGAGGACTCCTCAGATCCGTGCTCATTGCTGGGGGCAGGAGTTAAGAAGCCACCTGAGCCCCAGAAAAGAGCTCCTACTCCTGTCTGCTCCGTGGCCTCAAAAAAACACCCCAGCATTCATCTGCCTTCTGTGACTTGCTTTTACAGAGCACCTCCTCAGGATTTGTCTGGGGGTGTTTGTGTGGTGGGATGAATTAATATACGCTGACATATGTGCAGGAAAGGTAATAGAGGTAGGAAGGCATAAAAAAATGATAATTTCATAGCTCTCGTTTTATATTTTTCCTGCAAGTATCTGGCTTGGCTTTGGCTTGAGAAAAGGCATGATGGAGGCCCACCAGTGCCATCCCTGTATAGACCAGACAGAGATGATGCAGTCAGCCTTTGCAGACCCCTCCTGCTGTAGGCCACTGCATGCACTTGGCTATTCTCAGCCATCCAGCACAGCCCCCTCCTTTCTGAGCTCAGTAACAGCCAAAGTGCAGCTGACCTGATGTGCACATTTGCTTGTGGGCTCACCCGGGACAATTTCCCCATAGCACACTGACATGCAGAGGTGGGAGTCTGTTGAAGGTCTCAGGATGTATATGGTGCAGTAGGATACAGTTCTTCCTGCCCCACTGCTGGAGTACAGCCCTGCAGCATACACAGAGCTCTCAGCTGTAGCAATACAGCTTGTTTCAGAGCCAGCATGCCTTTAAATTCCTTAGCAAGCCTAATACTTGGGGACTATTAAAAACATCAACAGATCCCACAGACTTAAAAACATGAGGAAAGGGCATGAGCAAGCATGTGGTAACTGTCAGCAAGTATTGATTTTCTCACCACAATCTGAGCACACAATCAGGCATACTGAGGACGTGGCATTCCTATGAATTCAGTTTTGATACACCGTTTCTCAAATAGCTCTAGAGAAGCAAAACTAGGACTCTTTGCAGCTGAATAGGCTCGGAGTCCTGTATAATTCTCTGTGTTTTCTTGCCATTACCTTATTTCCAAAGGAGAGGAAGAGCGCTGTGTTCATGAATACGATGTAAAAGCTGTTCACGGTGCAATAGCTTGGTTTGCCTGAGTTGGGAATGAAAACCTGGTCAGAGGGAGGGAATTAAACCTCCAAAGTAATGCTTCTGATTTGCAGAAGGGAAAGGGGAAGTGCTAAGTGAATGTAGGAAATTGCAGCATTATGTGTTGTGAGAGCAATTCTTTCCATCCTTGTAGCTAATGGACTGAACAGAAAGTGAACAATTTGTTTCATACGGTGATTCACCAACACTCTGACAGCGTTTCCAATTCTGAGCTCAGTTTCATATTCAGTTCCCTGTTTACTAGTGAAATAGTACAATTATCTGTCTACCTCTTACATCTTACAAGCAGGCAAGGCTGCAGTATCTGGAAGGAATAAAAATAATGGTATAAATCCTGGCTGTTTAAGGCTGGAGGGAGGGGAAATGAAGCAAGTGTTATCTTTCCAATGGTTTATTGGAACTCTTGTCTAGAAATGAAGTTAAATTTCCTGGGAAAATAGGTGCAAAGGAAAAACTGCCAATGGAACTCAGTTTTCAATTTCTATTTAATGTTTTCTCCATTCACGTTTGTGAAAGGAAATCACAAAACATTTCCTGTTTGAGTTTCCTCATCAAATTGTCAATAGTAAAGTGGCCAGAACTGT